GTTTGATTTACCAATCCAACTGGCCTCTAAGGTCGCTCGGTAAAAGGTTCACCCACCCCAACCAATATATTCCACTCTTCCAATATGTCCCTTTTTTTAAAATATACTCTCCATTTATTTTTAATAAATTTAATTTAATTTTTAAAATATAAATTTTATATAAAATTTTAACAATCTATATGAAAAACAATTGAAAATTTTTTTAATCAAATAAAAATACTTAGTAAGAACCATATATGGGATAAAAAAATTTCAATTGTTGATCATATAGGTTGTTAAATTTTTATTCAAAATTCATATTTTAAAAGTCAAAAAGTCAAATTAGGTTTATTAAAAATGAATGGAAGGAGTATAAAAAAATCAAGCATTAATAATTTTTTTATTTTATCTTCATATTATCATATTAAAGATTTGTGGACAATTTATAATTTTATCTATATTATCCTTAAAAAAGAAATAAAAATAATGAAATTTAAATTCCAATAAGAAGAATAATTAAAATTAAGAGATAATGATAAGTTAAAATAGAAAAAATATATTTATTTCTTTTAAAATATGAAAAAAAAAAGACTATTTATTTTGAAACAAATTCTAAATCAAAACATGTTTTTTTTTTTTTTTGGACACTAGGAAATTGGGGGAAGGGGGTTGTTGTCTGGATTAGAATCCAGGACTTGGATATCCAAGCACTATCTCTCACGAGGATGGGCAGTAAGTCATTTGGTGTCGAACAAAATCAAAGCATGTTTATTATTTTGGAATAGAGGGAATAAGAGTTTGTATCAATTTACCTTCAAAATTTGACCATTTACCTTTTCATTATGAATAGTTAAAGTGTACCCATTATTTATCATATTTTATTTAAAGATAATTATCTTTTTATCTAAAAAACCAATAATAAATTCAAGCCATTCATATAAAGAATGAATTGCTATAATTTTATGCAAGAAGATCCCACCTCATCACTAATTTATAAATAATACGAATCTTTTCTATTACTTACTCCATTCATTTAATTTTGATAGTTCTAGTTTAATTTTATGACTTTTTAAATATGAATTTTAGATAAAAATTTAACAATTTATATAAATTACAATTGAAATTTTTTTCCTTTTATATAGTTTTTGTTAAGTATCTTTATTTTTGATAAAAAAATTCAATTATTATTTATATAATATATTAATTTTTTATCTGAATTTATGTCTAAATTTTTTTTTTTGAAAAATCAAATTAGAACTATTAAATTGAATGGAGCTAGTATTAATCATTCAATTCAAGTTAAACATTTTATGACATGATATTACATGCCATCAATAATTTGCAAGTCTTGCTTAGCTAAGATGAAATAGGCCATCGAGGTAGTATTAATCATTCAATTTAGGTTAAAAATTTTATGACATGATATTAGATGCCATCAATAATTTGCAAGTCTTGCTTAGCTAGCAGGAAATAGGCCATTGGACAATCATATATGCAGACATAGTTACCAGCTATTTTGGGAGGGAATGGGTAAATAAAAACGAATTTTTTTATTACTTATTAATTATTCAATGTAGTTTAAAGTTAAGGGCATGTTTGGTTAAAGAGTTAATTTTATTAAAAAAGTTTCTATTAGAAAAATGATTAAAAAAATATT